CTGCGGTCTGGGTTCAGTTCCCGTTAAGGGCACATACCTCTGTTGCAGTTTGTCCCCGGCCCTGGTTGGGTCATGTGGATGGCAACCACTCGATATGTCCCTTTCACGTCGATGTTTCTCTCTCTCTCTTCCTCCCACTCTAGCTGAACAAAAAATGGAAAAATGTCCTCGGGTGAGGATTAAAAAAAAAAAAGACTTGAATGTTAGACTCAAAATCATGAAAATCCTAGAAGAAAACAAAGGCAGTAAAATCTTGGACATTTCTCATAGCAATACATTTTTCTGATATATCTCCCTGGGCAAAGGAAACAAAAGAAAAACTAAATAAATGGAACTACATCAAACATAGCAAATGAAACCATAAATAAATTAAAAAAAAGAAAGAAAGGACAACCCACTGAATAGGAGAATGTATTTACCAATGATACATCTGGTAAGGGGTTAATATCCAAAATTTATTTAAAAACTTGTACAACTCAACACCAAAAAACTAAGCAATCCAATTAAAAAGTGAGCAAAAGACCTGACCAGACTTCTCCAAAGAGGACATGCAGATGGCCAAAAAATATATGAAAGGATGCTCAACATCATTAATCATCAGAGAGATGCAAATTAAAACCATAATGAGCTGTCACCTTACGCCTGTCAGAATGGCTATCATCAATTAATCAACAAACAACAAGTGTTGGCGAGGAAGTGGAGAAAAGGGAGCCCTTGGTGGGAGTACAGATTGGTATAACCACTATAGAAAACAGTATGGAGTTACCTCAAAAAATTTTAAAAATGGAACTGCCTTATGACCCAAAGATTCTACTTCTGGGAATATATCCAAAGAAACCCAAAGCATTGATTCGAAAGAATATATTCACCCCTATGTTCACTGCAGCACTATTTACAATAGCCAAGATTTGGAAGCAGCCCGACTGCCCATCAGTAGATGAGCAGATGAAAAGGCTGTGATACATTTACACAATGGAATATAACTTGGCCATAAAAAAGAAGGAAATCCTGCCTTTCATGACAGCATGGATGAACCTGGAGAGTATTATGCTAAGTGAAATAAATCAGTCAGAGAAAGGCAAGTACCATATGATTTCACTTACACGTAGAATATAATCAACAAAATAAACTAACATAAAATAAAAACAGACTCATAGAGAACAGACTGGCAGCTGTCAGAGAAGAGTGGGGATGAGGGATTGGGTGAAAGGATACAAGGATTAAGAGAAAAAAAAAATCTCACAGGTACAGACAACAGTATGGTGACTACCAGAGAGAAAAGGGAGTGGAAGGAGGTAAAAGAGGGTAAAGGGTAGATAAATGAGGATGAAAGGAGACTTGACTTGGGGTGAACACACAATACAATATACAGATGATGTATTATATAATTGTACACGTGAAACCTATAAAATTCTATTAACCAATGTCACCCCAATAAATTCAATTAAAAAATAAAAATAAATAATTGCAAACATTAGGTACTAATTGCATTTTGTAGTCATATAAATTTCCAGAGATCACAACTTAATAGTGTAGAAAAAATAACTAAATGTCTTTAAAATGTCTGGTCTTCATGAGACAGCAAAATTAGAAATGTTTACTAATATTCTGATTGTAAGAACTCAAAACCTCTAAAATTAAACTCAGACCACTTAACATAGATGACCAAAAAGCAAGATTCAAAAGCTTTCCAAAAAGCAATGATTCGTAGGATAAAAGGGTTAAAAACTACAGCTATCTGGCAGACTGATAATACAAAAAATAAAAAATAACACAGATTATCCACAGTAAGTATGGGATACATTTCATTAGGACAAACTATTTTTTTAAAAAAAGAATCTGTATTGCCCGGCTGGTGTGGCTCAGTGGATTGAGCATTGTTCCATGGACTGGGAGTTCCTGGTTTGATTCCCAGTCAGAGCATATGCCTGAGCTGGGGGCTCAATTCCCCACTAGGGGGCGTGCAGGAGGCAGCCAATGAATGTTTCTCACATCATATTTCTCTCTCCCTTCCTCTCTTTAAAAAAAACAATAAAAAACTTATAAAAATAAAAGTCATTGTAATAATTTAAAAAAATAATAATCTGTATCCTTTACGCAAAACCTTAAATCTGAAAATGACTATCTTCCCATTTATGAGTAAATTCAACTTTTTTTTTAAATCTTCACCGGAGGATATTTTTCCATTTATCTTCAGATAGAATGGGAGGGAGGGAGGAAGGGAGGGGGGGGGGAGGGAGAAAGGGGGAGGGAGAGAGAGAGAGAGAGACAGACAGACAGAGAGACAGAGACATCGATTGGTTGCCTCCCACATGACCCAACCAGGGCCAGGGACAAACCTCAACCGAGGCACGTGCCCTTTACCGGAATTGAACCCTAGACTCTCTGGGTTCATGGGCCGATGCTCCAACCACTGAGCAAAACTGGCCAGGGCTAAATTCAACTTTTTAAGTTAATGAATTAAATATAAAGAAGTGTTTGTATATCCATCCTCTTTGCTTTGGGAAAACTGACTATGACATTGTTGAATAGAAATGATAAATTCAGAAGCACTATATAGATCCTATGACAGTTTTCAGTTCTTAAGGAAAGAAACTACTTGAACCATTTTGTCCTAAAAGAGTTCTTTTCCTTATCAAGAAGTTAAAATACTTTAAAGGTGTTTCAGTTTCTTGTGGAAGGAAGAGACTTTGTAAAATTACTTCCACTTACAGAGATTCAGGTGACTCTCAAATATTATTAGCAATAATAAATAATGTATTTACAGTTGTCATTCACTAATTAGGTCCTCTTTCAACTCTGCTCTATAGTCAAGTCTTTGGACAGAAGGACCAATCAATTGCACATGACATGGTACTTTTATTAAAGAAATAATGCCATTTACACAGGTGAAATTTTTGTATATTCTTTTAAACAGAAATTTTAGACAAAAGAAACATGAATGGGTATGTGCCAAGATTTAGCTATACAAATGTTCAAAAACGACTTTGATCATTTTTTTAAATGAAAATAATCTAAATGTACATCAGCAGAGCCCAGGTTAAATAAACAAACATATTGTCAGAATATTATGCAGCTACTACAAAAATGATACTGCAGAAGAACAATATGTTAAGTGGAAAATGTGGCCTATAAATCAGTACACAGCAAAATCCTTTGTTAAATAAATATACATATATTTATACATAAATGTTAACCATGGTTCTCTCTGTATAGTAGCATTACAGGTCATTTTAATTTTCTTCTTTACATGTAGTTGTAGATTCTAATCCTACCAAAACATATATAAATTTAAAAAGAACTATATATTTACATAATTTAAATATATTTGTACAGTTATAAAATTATTAATTAAAAAACCAGAAAAACAAATATTTTAGAAGTTATTGGAAAAAATTAAGGTATTTCCAACAGTGAATGGGTTACACAGAGAAAGTAGAAGGAAACTTAGATACTTTTACTGTTTCTGCTGGGCAAAGCTAATTCTTCAGAGTAAACTTCTAGCCCTGGCAGATGTCCCATGCACCAAAAGGTCACTGGTTAAGATTCACAGTGAGGGCACATGCCCAGGTTGCGGACTCGATCCTCACTAGGGACATACAGAAGGCAGCTGATTGATGTTTCTCTCTCACACTGATGTTTCTCTCTCTCTCTAAAATCAATAAAAACATTTAAAAACTTCTAGAATATAGTCATTTTCAAATAAGTACAAAAATGTATATTCACGTCTAGAAAGTAATCATGGATGGAGTTTTTTCATATTTTCAACGAATGTGCTCTGAAAACAATACTTGAGGATTATAAATAATGAGAAAACTGATAAGAAAATTAACATCTTTTAAGTACTCAATTTGTATCAGGATAGTCAAAAAATCTATTACTTAGGTTTTGTCTCTCCTGCTATTAGCAATATTCACTTTCAATACATAAATGAGGCATTTAAAAACTTTAAGTGTGGCCCGGCTGGTGTGGCGCAGTGGTTGAGCGTCAACCCATGCACCAAGAGGTCGCTGGTTCAATTCCCAGTCAGGACACATGCCCAGGTTGTAGGCCAAACCCCAGTAGGGGGCATGTTCTCTCTTATTGATGCTTCTCTCTCTCCCTCTAAAAAATCAATAAAAAGAAAAAACTTTAAATGTTTCCTATCACCGCACTAGTGTTTAAAAATCCAGTGATACTGTAATTTCTTTCTAGTAACTAAGCAAGTTTGGTATTCACCTGAAATATGTTAAGGTACTTAGTAACCTTCTATAATAAAGCTCTGTAAACACAATCTGACTTCTACCTACCAGATAACATGTTAATATTGAAAGATGATTGAATGAACATATTTAAAAGGAACAACATATTGGACCTCAGCTATCCTAAAATATTTTTTATACTTTTATTTTACTTTCTAATGGGGGATTTTTAACCCTATATAAACAGTACTGGATTTTTTCCCTTTTAGTTATAGCTAGATTATTAGCAGCATTACATATCATTTCCAAAGGTTAGGCCCTAATAATTGCAGACTGAATATTATATGTAATAGAGTTTAATACCTTCACAAAATCTTATTCAATATAGAGCTATCATTCAAGATTAGTTGCTTTATCACTTTGTAGCAGTAAGTCAGATAATACCATACAGGCATATCAAAAAAGCTGTCTTCTTGAAACCTAAATTCATTATCAAATTAATTAATGGGAATTCTAAAAAATGTATAAACATGCTTATAATCTGCTAAGAGAAAACTGGATTTCTAAACTGACTAAATGTTTCAAATTTAAATCAAAACAAATTTCAAAAATCAAATCCACCAAAAGCCATATATGAAACAATTTAGTCACCCAATCTAAATAAATTGGCGCAAAGTATTCAATACCACTTCCTCCTCTTGCTTTCAGTTTAACTGCCACCGTACATTCAGATACACACATTCCACATATAATATTTAATAATAATATATCTTTAAGGGCTAGAATTTCTCCCACCCCCATAATTCTTTATCACCTTACCCCATTCTGTGCCATCCCCTGAACTCCGTGCTTCGCCAGCGCCTTCACCATCTTCAGCAGTCACTAAAAAATCAAATTCTTTCAGTGCTTCCTCAGTATCAGGATCATCAGTTAGGTCAGCAGCTAACCCTTCATTACCTATCTGTAAATGAAACATAGCCAAGAATTACTTTTATCCTAAAATTTTAAAGGAGTCCTTTATGTTTTCACATAATTATCTTTATACTTGTACTCCCATTTTTAAATTACATATATACAAAATTTTAGATTTTCCATGCAGTTCACCCATCCCAAATTATGCCCTAGATAAATGGTCCTCAACAGTGCTATGTGAAGACCACTGAAAGATGTGATACAAGTAATGTGGTAGTAAGAATGATTAAAATGCTAATGACTAAGCCCAGCCAGTGTGGCTCAGTGGATTGAGCGTCATCCCATGGACTGAGAGGTCCTGGTTCGAATCCCGGTCAGGGCACATGCCCGGGTTGCTGGCTCGATCCCCAGTAGAGGGCATGCAGGAGGAAACCAATCGATGTTTCCCTCTCACATGGATGTTTCTATTTCTTTCCCTTCCTCTCTCTGAAAAATCAATAAAAACATACTTCAAAAAAATGCTAATGACCAAGAATAGGTAACCTCTTTAATTATAATATATTGTTATCCTTTTAAAGATCGATTCACTCACTTACACTGAAATATTATGCTGACCTTACTCACTTTAAATCATATTATGTAGCCCACAATTTACAGAATGGCACAGCTAGTAAGAACATTAATTAATATAAGTCAATAGCTGTGGTATTATAATAGTGAACAAAAATATAGACACAGAAGAAAAGAAACAAAATGTCTATTCACCCATGTTACACATATTGAATATGTTAACAAATAAGAAATGTGGCAAAAAAATTAAAAATCACTTTTATTGACAGGAAGCTTTTGAGGAACACTGGCATTTTCCCCACATCACCGTAACACCCCAAAGAATTACAACCGAACCTTATCTACTATTTTTTTTACATACCTGAAATACTGTACACTACTATGATAATTCACAAATCGATCACGCAAACAACTTTTTCTCCTATAACTAACTCACATCACCACTAAAATAGACAAACCTGTTTCTTAGGTTATAAGCAAAAGTCAATTATTACTCTTTACCAGAGAAGAAGAATGTCAACACATAGATTTATAATCCATAGTTGACTCCCTCACCCAAGGTAGAAGTATTCCCACCCAAGGTAGAAGTATTCCCACTGAAGTTTCAGTTAATTTATCACCTGTTTACTTTACATGAAGAGAAAGACTACAGAAATGATTTTTAATTGTGGCAGGAGTGGAGAGGGTGTTGCTTTTTAGTTCTTTTTTTTTTTTTAACCTCACCCGAGGACATTTTTCCATTTTTTGTTCGGAGGGAGGGAGGGAGGGAGAGAGAGAGAGAGAGAGAGAGAGGGAGAGAGGGAGAGACATCGACGTGAAAGGGACACATCGATGTTTCTCTCTCTCTCTCTCCCCCTCCCACTCTATCTGAACAAAATATCAAAAAAAAAAAAGTCCTCGGGTGAGGATAAAAAAATGTTTCAAACCACTGGACTAGTCCTATAAATATAAACTCTTTCTTGCCATTTAGTGACTGACCCAGCAAATAATACCTACTAATAAATGTGGGTAACTCAGTAAGAACTGATACATAAAACTTGTTTTTTGGCCTCACATACTTTTTTTTTAATTGATTTTTAGAGAGAACAGGAGAGAGAAACTTCGATTTTGCCTGGGGATAGAACCTGCAACCTTGGCATATCTGGATGACACTCTAAAGAACTGAGCTACCTGGCCAGGGATAATACATAAACTTTCAAGTGACGTGATGAAATATTTAATGATCACTCCCAATTTAACTTAAGACACTGCAAAAATTTCTATGTGAAATAAGTGAGTATATATATTTTAGCTAATAAGAATAGAAAATCAAGTTCCTACTTTGTGTTTATTCATCCGATGTTTGTCTTTTCCTTCTGGGATGCCTTCAATCATGTCATTTTCCTCTTCTTCATCACTGTCATCAGCATTTTCTAAGAAATTGAATGTCTCAAGAACATCACCAGAAGTCCTGTAAGAGGAAAAAAAGATGAACCCAAATATTACTATGGTTACTTCTAATATTTCTTTCTGGTTCCTATTTTTTTATTATTTATTAATTTTAGAGAGAGGAAGAGAGACAGAGACAGAGAAACATTGATGAGATAGAACATCTACTGACCACCTCCTGCATGCCCCTCACTGGGAATTTGGCCTATAACCTGGGCATGTGCCCTGACCAGGACCTCTTAGTGCATGAGCTGACGCTCAACCACTGAGCCACACCGGCCAGGCATCTGGTTCCTATTTTAAAATAGTACTTGAAGGTAGTATATTCCAATGATGACTTATTTATAATGTATTGCCTAAATATTTTATTCAACAAAAGAATTCTGAAATATTATTTATGTTCAATGATTAAAGTAAAAGTGACTGTTCTCTGTGGACTTTCTCTAATGGTTTTTGTCCAAAATATTTTATGTAATTACTGTATCAAAATAAAATCCTATATTATTAGACACTCAAATGTGCTATTTCTCAAAATAAAGCTATCATAAGCAAGCAACTTAAATTTAGCTTTTCTTATAACTTTACAACCTGTTTTAGCTTGGCCCTAATGTCTGAGGAGTAAAACCAAAGTTTAATTTATCAGGTTGCCCAAATTTAAAGTTATGGCAGATCAGTTATAGAACATTCCAATATATTTCAAAAAGGTTCTTACCTAGAAAACAGATCCTTAACATACTAAAGAAATACTTTCTAATCTTTCAAACCCACTTAATAGGTAGTAATGATAATCTATTTTTATCTACTTGTCATTTTTTAAACTATAATTTGAATTCCTCCCCTATGTACAAAAACAGTTTTTCAGTTATTTAAATGTCTAACAAAAGAGGTTGCAATAGAACAGAGGAAATTTCAGCTAAACACAGACTCTGACAATGAATGTCGCAATGGAAGACCATTAACTAGCTTACTGAACTTGATCAAGTTTAAATGTTTGGCTTCAAATTTCTTTATGAGGGGGGGGGGAGTTGAACTAGATGATATCAAATGTCCTTATCAACACTAAGAGTGCATGATAACAAAAGAATAATCATCTAAAATTTACAGTTTTCTTCCTCCCTGATTGGTTCTATTAGGCCCAATTAAGGACATAATACAATTCAGACTATTTTTTAAATAGGATTTTAATAGGTCTACTATACTCTGCCTAATCCAGTACATTGTTGAAGGACCTATATATTGAATGCAAAAAGAGATTGTATTTCCAAATACAAATTAGTAAAAAACACACACAAACCTACCATAATAAAACACACTTTTCAGCTCAGCATTTCTAATACCTTTAATATTTGAGAATTAAATGAAAGACGTACATTCGACAACAAAAAACAGAATATACAGTAGTAAGTCCTCACTGAATGCTGTCAACATGTTCTGCGACTTTAAGGTAACTGAAGTATCAATTTTATCAAAGGCTAACTGATAGGAACAAGAGTTAAGTTCCTACAGCATCTCATCAACATTATATCAAAAAAAAACAATGAAGAAAACAACGTTATTTGAGGACATGCTGTAGTAAATTGAAGATATGAGAATTTGTTTCGTGTGTATTTTTTTTGTTTGTTTCGAACTTTGATAAATTAAATGCTGCTATCCTTTGGATAGAAATGTCTGTCTCTAAAGTGAGAACTCACGTTTTAGGTTTTAAAATTGTACCTGATCACAGCAATAAAATGGCTTTAAAAGTCAAACAGAGTACAACCCATAAAACACAAAACTGATAAATCAGACTTCCCAAAATTAAGAATTTGCTCTTTGAAAGATACTGTTAGAGAATTTAAAGACAAGCCCACAGATTGGGAGAAAATATCTGCAAATCACATATTTGAAGAAGAACTTGTGTCTAGAATACACAAAGAACACTCAAATCTCAACTATAACATGTAAAATAATAAAAATAGGGAAACTATTCAAATAGACATTATTAAAAGACACATGGATGGCATAAACAGATACTGGACATCATTGGTCTCTAGGAAAATAAAAATTAAAGCAACCACAGACTGTGAAGGGGCTCAAGACTTGATGTGCACGCTAACATGTATCTTTTGAGATGTTTCTTTTTCGTATTCATGATGATGGAGTCTCTATGGATCTTTTGTTCATTAATTTTATAGTTCACGTGGGGAAATCCTTTTAATCCAGGGGAAAAAAATCCTTGAAAATACAGTCTGTAAATATATTTTGGAAAGTTTGCTCTTATTACTATCTTAACAACCTTTTAAATACCACTTTACCTGTTCTTTCTTTTTGAAACTCCTAGTCAGATGTTGGCTCTCCTGGACTGAAAACTGAATTTTCCCTAGCTTTTCAGTCCTACTTTCTCTTTTCCCTCTTTTGGGAGAGTCCGTCCACCTTACCTTCCAAGTTTTACATAGAAATTATTTCTATCACACTTTTAAATTTCTATTAGCTCTTTTGATCTCCTACTAAACCTTTAAAAATAACATCTTATTTGCTTTGTAAATGTATTATCTTCTTTTAGTCCTCTCAAAAATTAACTACAGTTTTGCAAGTCTTCTGCTTCCTCATTTCTCTTAATTCTTTTTTTTTTTTTGGTTCCTTTGGTTACCAATTTTCGTATTAAAGTCTTTCCTTAAGTGTTTACACTTAGGAGTGAGATACTAGCCCGACCAGTGTGGCTCAGTGATTGAGCATCGACCCATGTACCAAGAAGCTGCTGGTTCAATTCTTGGTCGGGGCACATGCCCAGGTTGTGGGCCCAGTTCCAAGTTGGGCGCATGCAGGAGGCAGCCAATGTTCTCTCTCATCAATGTTTCCATCTCTCTCTCCTTCTCCTTTCCCCTCTCTCTAAAAATCAATAAAGAAAAAACATTTTTTTTAAAAAGAGTCACTAAAACGATAACTGGATGTACTGTGCAAACGAATAAGGCTTGCCAAGCAGCTGGCTTTACTTTTCCATAAAATCCCAATTGTTAGTCTCGTGATGTCTCTTCTATTAATCCGAATAATTTCAATATCCTCCTGTCTAGAAGAGATATAAGACCAGCTGCCAACACATCAGAGGCCAAATAACAGAAGGATACAGAGGGATACTGTTTTCAGTATAGTAACTGGCCCCTACGGTTGCTTGATTTTTAAAGAAATCAGAAATCACTGGTTCAACTTCACCAGATAATATACCACCATTCTTTGGGATAAGGGAAGGGTGTTCAACTGGCTGCACAGGATAAAAAGAGGGATCTGAGATTCTAACTGAATTTCACATAAACTTGAAACCAATTCTCTATTCACAGCCCTCTTTAAACCTGACTCCAAATGTACCTGATACATCTAATTCCTTAGCCTTTGGAGTTTTACTGGCATTTTGGGACCTGAACTGACTTGTTACTGTTCTTCTTCCTATTGCTCCTAATTGCATTTAAATTTAAGCTCAGTTGACATTCCTCCATTTTCTTTTCACCTTTGAAAACTATTATATTCTCCCTATCTGATGTACAAATATCTTCATTTTTCCTAAAGATTCGATTTTTTGTCATGTGTTAATGCATCTCAAAAAGTCTTTAACTGTCATTTTAGCTGAGGTTCCAGAAGGCACACAAGTAAAATGTGCCTTTAATCCACCATGCTTAAGTGAAGTCTCTCCATCTATGGCACATTATATTTTTATAATTATTTTGGTCAACTATTTATTTACTATCCTCTGTCATTCCAGAAAGGCAATCAATAAAAATAAAATATTAATATATCCATAAGAAGGAAAAATAAAAGGCAAGGGTAAGATTGCTAAGTAAAAAGCTAAAAGAGTCAATACATTTTCTAGGGCAAGGGTGGGGATATGGGGGCAGGCCCACAAATTTGGCAAGATTCCATACAGAATAAAAAGAGAAAGGGAGAAACAACTAGAGGTTCACAGATATATCAGATCAATAATTAAGAAGCAAAATAGCTTTTCCCAGTTATAAAATCTAAGACAACTCTCTTTCCCAATGAATCCGCATAAAGTGACTATTTTGTGGTACAATGCATGCACCAAAAGCACCCCCTTACAATAAACCAAAAAATACAATAATGACATTCCCTCACCAGAATCTAGTAAACCAGGGATTTTCAACTGTTGTGACACAAATTTTTAAAACATGCAATGCTTAACTATTTAGTCAGGGACAATGACCTCTTTTCCCTTAGATTATGAATTGTATAAATGACAATAGCCAACACAATAGCTGTCCAATGTGAATAAAAATTATATTTATTTATTTTTGTCAGAATGGCAAAAAAATGTACTTTTTGGTGTGCCACAGAATTTTAATAATAAGTTTGTGTGTGTCATGAGAAGAAAAAGATTGAAAATCACTGTAGTCAACATTCCTCTTGGTGGGGTTACATTTCAATGGAATACACAATATGTAACCATAGCTAACACTTAACTATGTGCCAGACATTGCTCTACATGCTGACACATTAACTCATTTCTTCTTCACATCAACCCCATCATCACCATTTTACAAATAACTGAAGCAAAAGTAAAGTACTTTGCTCAAAGTCACAGCTATTACGTGGTGAAGTCAGAATTCAAACTCAGCCTGTCTTCAGAATTCACATTCTAAACCATTACTCATACTGCCTATAATGATAAGATCCAAAATTTACCATTACTCTACTGTTGAACATTAAGACTTGCTTTTAACAACAATGAGGTATCACCTCACACCTGTCAGAATGGCTGCCATCAATAAATCATCAAACAAGTGCTGGTGAGGGTGTGGAGAAAAGGGGACTCTAGTACACTGCTAGTGGGAATGCAGACTGGTGCAGCCACTATGGAAAACAATATGGTGTTACCTCAAAAAATTAAAAATTGAACTGCCATTTGACCTAGTGATCCCACTTCTAGGAATATACCCTAAGAAGCCTAAAACACCAATCAGAAAGAATACACGTACCCCTATGTTCATAGCATCACTATTTACAATTGCTAAGATCTGGAAACAGCACAAGTATCCATCAGTAGATGAATGGATAAAAAAGCTGTGGTATATATACACAATGGAGTACTATGCAGCTTTAAGGAAGAAAGATCTCTTATCCTTTGAGATGACATAGAGGGACCTGAAGAGTATTATGCAAAGCAAAACAAGCCAATCAGAGAAAGACAAATATCACATTATCTCACTTATTTGTGGAATATAAGGAACAAAACAAGCTGATGAACAAACTACACCCAAAGACATAGAAGTAGGGTACAGACTGACAAACCTCAGAAGAAGGGGACGGGGGGAGGGAGGGAACAGATAAACCACAGAACTTATATGCATATATGCATAACCATGGACATAGATAACAATGCTGGGGACAGGTCGGGGGGTAGGGGATCGGGGGATCAGAAGGAGGGTGTCAATGGAGGAAAAAAGAGAAACATTTGTAACAAAAATAAATAAATTTTAAAAAAGGACTTGCTTCTAATTTTTTAATATTATAAAAAAAATTGGTTTTGCTGAAATCTCTATGACAGTGTTAGATCATTTCTTATTTCTAGGGGTTTCAAAGGCCCTGATATAGGTGAACCATACACCCCTCCATCAGTGCAGATTCAGAATATACAAGTATATTCATTAAGAAGGAAATAAGCCTTATTTAAAAATATTACCTAAATGTCTGTGAAGAAATGAAGAAAATGTGGTGTGCATACACACGTACGTACACACACAATCCCCCCCCCCCCCAGAGCATCAACCAACCATAAAAAAAACATAGATATCTTGCCATATGCTACACCACTGATGAACCTTCAGGACATGATAATAAGTGAACATAAGGACAAATATCATATAATTACACTTAATGAGGTATTGAAAGCAGAAACAGAAACAGAAAGAAATAGAAAGAAACTTTTCATAGAAACAGAAAGTTGAATGGTGAAGAAAACAGTTGCTATTCAATAGGTATGGCATTTAACTTATTCAAGATAAAGTTCTCAAGATGTGCTCTACAACACTGTAATTATAGTTAATAAAGCCATCGTAAGCAAGCAACTTAATAATACTGCACTATAGACTTAAAAATTTTATTAATAGGGTAGATCTCATGTTATGTGGTTTTTTTTCACAATAAAAAAAACTTATTAAATTTCTAATCTTGCCAAGGCAAGAAGCTTTAAAAGGAGACATAGCCTGTTGTGAATTTTTAATTCATACTCATATGTGGTATAGTAAACCACATTACTCAAAAATATTTATGAATCCTATGAACTACTTAGCTTGGTTAGCTTAAGTAACTTTAGTTAAAAATTCATAATACGTTCTGGCCGTTTTGGCTCAGGGATCAAGCGTTGGCCTGCGGACCACTGAGTTGCAGGTTCAATTCCAGCCAAGGGCACGTACCTCAGTTGCACTTCGTCCCCGGCCCTGGTCAGGGTCCTGCAGGGAAGCAACCAGTTGATGTGTCCCTCTCACATCAATGTTTCTCTCTCTCCCCCTCCCACTCTATCTGAAGATAAATAGAAATATATCCTTGGGTGAGGATTTAAAAAAAAAAATTTCATAAAACTTTTTCCTTTTCTTTAACGCTACAAAAACATTCTATGCTTCCTGAAATCCAGAGTAAAGAAAATAAAGGTTCTATTAGATGTTAAATTGCTTTTATTAGAGACCTTATTTTTAAAAAATAAAAAGTCTAAACAAAAGGCCTCTGTTAACATGAAAGTTATAGAACATGTTTTAAATAATTGTATGTCAGAAAATATATCTAAGATATGAAATAATGCTAATTTATAAACTGCACATCTCCATTTCTTAGGCTTAGTCTCAACTCGTTTGATTTTTTTTCCCATTCTTTTTTTCTTTGCTTTGTCCTCACAACCTGTTATTCAACATAACATCTAATGGTAAAAAAAAAAAAATTTTTTTAAGTTCCACCTGCTTGACTTCTTGCATTTATCAAGTCTGTATAACCAAGATATAACTGATAGTAAACAACAAATGTTGACAAGAATGTAGAGAAATCAGAACTCATACATTTCTGGTGGGAATGTGAAATAGTTCAGCCACTTGGGAAACAGTTTGGAAATTCCTCAAAAAGGTAATCACAATTACCTTATGACTTAGCAATTCCACTCCTAAGTATATATCTAAGAAAACTGAAAACATGTCCACACTTGTACACAAATGTTCAAAGTGGCATTATTCATTATTCCAAAATGTGGAACCAACCTCATGCCAATCAAGTGGACAATGAATAGATGAACAAAATGTGGTATATTCAGAGTACAGAATATTATTTGGCAATAAAAAGAAATAAATTACTGACGTGCTATAACATGAATGACTCTTAAAAATAGTATGCTAAATGAAAGAAGCCACTCAAAAAAATAACCATTTATATGAAATATCCAGAATAGGCAAATTTTTAGGGAGTAAAAGTAGATTGCTTAGGCCCTGGCTGGTTTGGTTCAGCAGTTAGAGCATCAGCCTGAGGTCCAGAGAGACCCGGGTTCGGTCCCTACTAAGGGCATGTGCCTCGGTTGCAGTTTGTCCCCATCCCTGGTTGGTTGTGTGGGGGGGGCAGCCACTCGATGTGTCCCTTTCGCATGGATGTTTCTCTCTCTCTCTCTCTCTCTCTCTCTCCCCCCCTCCCTCCCTCCCAGTCTATCTGAACAAAAAATGGAAAAAAAATGTCCTCGGGTGAGGATTACCAAAAAAAAAGTAGATTACTTAGTAAAGTTGTCTAGGGTTAGGGTGGTGGTGGTGAGAAAAATGTAGGAGAGAGTACAGGGAGTGACAGCTAATGAGTATGAAGTTTCTTTTTAGGATGATGAAAATTTTCAAAACTTAAAGACTGTGGAGCCCTGGCCACTTTGGTTCAGCAGTTAGAGCATCGGCCCATGGACCAGAAAGTCCTGGGTTCGGTTTCCACTAAGGGCATGTACCTCAGTTTCGGTTAGTCCCTAGCCCTGGTTGGGGTCATGCGGGTGGCAACCAATCGATGTGTCTCTCTCACATCGATGTTTCTCTCTCTCTCTCTCCCTCCCTCTCTCCCTCTCGCTCTATCTGAAAATAAATGTAAAAATGTCCTAGGGTGAGAATAAAAAAAAAAAAGACAATTTACAAAAAAGAGACTGAAAATGGCTTACAACTCTGAATATCCTAAAACCATTAAACTAAAGACTTTAAATGAAATTTATGGTATGTGAATTGTATCTCAATAGAGCTATATAGTAAACACCGAAAGATTCATCCAATAAAAAATAAAAATAAAAACACCAAAAGAACATTTGTAGCTTTCAACCCAAACACAATGCAAAGCCTTGTTCCTTTCACACTAGTTTTCTAAATAACCACTGCTATTCTGGTTATGGAGTAGTATTATAATTTACTGAAAATATGCTAGCAAAAATGTAAAAACCAGGATGTTAAAATAACTCTGAAGTACATGAAATAACACCTCAAATTTTAATTTCTCACTTATTTCAGAACCATTGGCATCCTCTTGGCATTAAGCTTTAAGATAGATAAATTGATAAAGCACTGAAGTAGAAAATTTATTTGCCCATGGTGTCACTTAGGGGGAGAAAAGTCTTTAAATTTGAACTCCACCTGCTTTAAAACTTGTTCATGGTAGTAACAAGAACCTGAAGAGATTCATAATACCCACTGTAAAGACAATGTTAACCTACAAGTATAGATCATACCTTTTGATTTCTTGTCCTTTTTGCTTAGGAGATTCACCTCCATTCAGGATCTGTTCTAAATTCTTTGTTTCTACTGATCCATTTGGTTCTGAATTGGACAGTCCAAGTAATGACCTTACCCGCTGAGACCGTACATCTAATATTGTATCTGTGTAACCTACTTCCTGAAGATATCTGTAAGAGAAAATTAAAAATATTAAACCCCACATATTGTTATACCAGCAAACTTGTTAACTCAAAATTACATCAAAGGATTTTAGAAAAATCTATCATCCTATAAAATATACTCTTCCTTTGCCTCAATAACTGTCTTCTCTATAGACTAGTTCCAGTTTATAAAGAAAATAAGGCCAATTACAAACCAAAATTTAATTAAGAAAGCAAATAGCACAGCCAACACTAATCAAGGACCAATTACTGAAACCTAAAAAGCCCTAGAGCCTTAAGAGGCTTTTAGGAGTTGATGGCATTATCTGAAACTTCAGAAGTGGCTTGCCAAGTCCTACCTTTACTTGAATTTTTGAGGAACCTTTTTTTAAAAAAAATTTTATTGTTGAGAGTTGGGGACCCTTTTTGACATTTGAATTCTGTATTGTATTAGAAGTACTTCTGTGGCAAATCTTACTGTCTTTTATCTATTTGTTCTTCTCCTTTATCTTTTGAAACTTTGGTACTTGTGTGCTCCCAATATCCTGGGTAACTTAATAAAATTATTCAACCTATACTTAAGTGACCCAGTGAAGTGTGGTCAGACCCTTGACTTTGTTATTACCTAGAACTACCCTACCTCTGAAGTAGTCTATGATCTGACAGTTATCTTAAATTCCTATTCTCATTTCAATTCCCATGTTTTTGCCCTGTGACTTTACCTTGAACTTCAGTCTCTAGATAACCAATTAAATTCTTTCTCTAAACCAGTCTTACTTAAAACCAAATATGTGAATTTTGCAGTGATGAAAACAGGAGTGCCTACAAGTATGAGCTCTATATTGTTTTTTCTGGCCTTCAAGGCATCCAGTCTTTATGATAGTCTACCCCACAAATAAAAAACAAACAAACATCACACTGAGGGACATTCAGAGGAAATAAACTTTTAAAAGATCTAAGCATCGAAACAAAGCATTTAAAAAGCAATTGAAAACTATATGCATTGTCCCACTATCATTAAATAATTTTTCATTGAAAAGTGATTGAATATAGGTACTTCATGCCTAAATCCTTAAAACTGAAAATGAACCATTACTCACTGTCTTAACAGCTGTCTGCCTTGCTTCCATGTTAACTGGCTATTCTGAGGTGCTGCAGGAGCTTCTGTGTCTTTGGTTTCTTCTAAAAATTAACAACAATAAAAAAAGACAAGTTTCGTACACATTGTTTCAACTATTGAAAATACTGCCAAAGTTCTCTAAGGGGCGAAATTTCCACAAAAATATACCTAAATATTTTATTAAGAAGAGAAGAAAATGAACTTTTATTGAGTATTTACTGTGGATCACACTCATTTCAGATGTGTTTATCCCAATTAGTCAAACACTTAGGTACTACCCTCCTTGTTTTAAAATTGGGAAAAGCCAAGTGCACATTAACTATAACTACCAGAGATTCAAAAGCCCAGGCTTTGAAATACAATATTATTATAATTACCATTTTAACTACCAGAATTCCACTGAGTTAAATACTTTTGAAATTAAAAGGCTATACTTAATATTTACAGTAGTTATTCCAAAGCAATGCCACTAAGAAATTAGATATATATAACTTAATTTTGAATTGGTTATAGTACACTCGAAGTCTGTATCACAAGACTTTATATAGTCAATTTCACTCTTTTTAGAACTAAAAGTTAAAGTTTTACTATAGGTAAAAAGTCATTTTTTTTATTCTCATGTAACAAAGTATATATATTTTTTAAATTTAACAAACAGTATAATTTCAGGTCAGTTAAGCTCTGAATAAGTATACTTAGACTAAAATTCAAAACTGCTTATTGTTACTATTTTCCCATAAATTTTCACTATGCAAATAAAGATAAAGCAGAGAGGGCCATTAAAGATCAGTCCTCAGTAAATGTTGAGAACTTAGAAGGGATCACAGTTATTAGGCTCCTAGACTCCTTACAGTCACGTGAGCAAATACTTATTGGTAATAACTCAAATATTCACTACAAGTATTACTTCTCTAACCCTAATAATCCCATTATTAATATCGTCTCATTCTTCCCTTGAACATAGAAATTTCTATTTCTAGAAATAATTCTTTCATTCTAATAGTCCCGTTTTTATATTTATAATTTTTATCTAGACCATTATATATTTTTAAATCACATATTATCATAGCAGAAAAAACACATTTAAAAAAATATAAATGCCCCAAATCCTATCATCAAAGGTTAGTATTTAAGACTTTATCATTCCATATTTTCCATATGAAAATATACACATAAGCTTATCCCTTCCTTTAAAAATAAATGGGCAATATGTATACTGCATTATAAGCTGCTTTTGACAATGTATCTTGACCATTCTCTCTATGGCAATAAAATAGATTAACATCATATAAAATGATTAATAAGCCCTGGCCGGTTTGGCTCAGCGGTTAGAGCGTCGGCCTGCGGTCCTGAGAGAACCGGGTTCGGTTCCCGTAAGGGCATGTACCTCGGTTGCAGTTTGTCCCCGGCTCTGGTTGGGTCGTGTGGGTGGCAACCACTCGAAGTGTCCCTTTCACGTTGATGTTTCTCTCTCTCTCTCTCTCCCTCCCACACTCTATCTGAACAAAAAATAGAAAAAATGTCCTCGGGTGAGGATAAAAAATAAATAAATAAAATAAAATGATTAATAATATTCCATAGAAAGTATATACCTATTTAATTTAACCAGTCCCCTAATGTTGAAATTAGTTTCCATTATTCACTATTATAAATAATGCTGCTAAGGATATCCTTGAAGTACATCGTAAGCGTACACAATGAATTTTGAACACACTCATGTAACCAGTACCTAAATGAAGAAACAAAACATTGTCAGTATCCCAAAAGCTTTTTTTGTGCTGTTTTCCAATCACTAGATACTCCCAGAAGAGTATCAATACTATCCTGAATTCTAAAAACTAGATTAATTTTTAAATTTAATAATATTAAATCAATGATATCAATTTTCAATTTTACGTGATTTATCCATGTCAGGTTTTATACTTTGTTAACTTGTTGCTAAATAGCATTCTGCTATACTAAAATATCACAATATATTTATGCATTCTAATGCTGAAGACCATTCGAGTTGTTTCTAGTTTTTTACTATTAAAAATAATGATACTACCAACATCCTTATACAAGCCCTATGATAAATATACGTATGCATTTTAGGGAGTGGAACACCTAGGAAGGGAACTACTGGGTCACAGGACATGCTATGTTCCCTTTAGTAACACCACTAATAAATCACTTCCAGACTTCCATCAATTTACAATCCCAGCATCAGTAGGTCTACAAATTCTTGTTGTTCCATATTCTCATCAACACTTGACTTTTTCTCTTTTTCATTTTAGCAGTTCTGGTAGGTATCTAACTATATTGCACTGTGCTTTTGTGGTTTTAAGTCGTATTTCTTCAATAACTGATAAAATTGAGCATCATTTCATATGCTTCTTGGCCATTTGGAAATCCTACTTTATCAAGTGCCTTTTCAAGTCCTTTGCCCATTTTTCTTTTTCTTTTATTTTTTATTCCTCATCCGAGGATATTTTTTTAAATTTATCATTAGAGTGGAAGGGAGGGAGAGAGAGACATAGAGAAATATCAATGAGATAGATCCACATCAACTGGTTGCCACCCGCATGAGCCGAATTGAACCTGTGACTCATTGGTCCGCAGGCCAAGGCTCTAGCCGCTGAGCCAAACTGGCCAGAGCTTGCCCATTTTTCTATGGCTACATATTTAAAAAATCTAAATAAAAGAAAAAGAAGCTCTTTACATATCTGGGTACAACCGCTTTTATACAGTGTTAGGCTTATGTTAACTATATTGGTATTATTGAGACAGGGAGTATAAAAACATTCATATCTTGTATAATGGAACCTCAATTCTCGAACTTAATTCACTCTGGAAGGCTGTTCGAAAACCAAAGCATTTTTCCCATTAGATAAACCACAGAACATATATGCATGTATGCATATATGCATGCATAACCAATGGACACAGATAACGAAGCTGGGGATGGGGCAAGGGGGATGGGGAGGAGGGTGTCAATGGGGGGAAAGGAGAAGCATCTGTAACAGAAATAAATTAATAAAGACAATTAAAAAAAAAAGAAATAATGTAAATTGAATTAATCCATTCCAGACTCCCCAAATGATTCTGTTTTAACCTTTCTTCTATACAGTATATGTCTAATGTCCTGTTTAATTTATAAACACTTTAAAAACAAAAAGGGACATGAAATATAAATGAAAATTTAACATAAAGGAAATGAAATGTACAGTAAAAAAATGATAATAATAGCAGCAACAAAAGCAAAAAAACACGAAAATATTCACAGCACAATTTCCTGAGCTGTTAACAAGGGTAAACAGATTCATGCTCATGCTTTCTCTTCTTTGTCACCTGAGAGATTCATGACTGATCATACAGCTATCAGTATGAAAGGGTTTCTAGGTTGAAAAGCAAATTGTTCAAGATGGGAGACATTCGAAAATTGAGGTTTGATTGCTTGTACCAAATTAATATTTTGCACATTTTTCTCTTTTTTACATTTTGCTTTATTTTGGGCACATAAAAGGCAACACTGATTCACTTAATGTTTATCTCGATCTGTACTTTGACGTAAATGAGTTTATCCCAATTTGTTTGCATGGTGTGTTTCTGACCATCCCTTTTTGTTTGTTTTCCCACTAAATATCCTGAATAGTTTTTCTATTCCTGTAAAAACAATCTACTTTGTTATTATTGTGTCTCCTATAATTAAAATACTTGGACATTACTTTATTCCTCAATTTGGGGAAGTTTCAATAATTAAGTTTAAAACAAGTTTAAAAACAAGTCTGCTTTTAGCTGACTTCAGTTGTGGGCAGGAGAAATTTATCTGCTAAATGATTTTGCTTTATACAAACTGCTGCACTGAGACCAGAGAGCCAATTCTGACTCTGCTTTTAGAAACAACGTGGCTGCAACTAGCCTCCTTCCTCACATTTATGAAGACCAACTTGGGGGCAGCCCTTGAGTTATAGAAAGTGATTGCTTATTTTCTGAATATTCTAGCCATATAAGAAGTGGAGAAGAGCCTGGCCGGTGTGGCTCAGTGATTGAACATCGACCCATGCACCAAGAGTTCGCTGGTTCGATTCCTGGTCAGGGCACATGCCTAGGTTGTGGTCCAAATCCCCAGTTGGAGGTCATGCAGGAGGCAGCCAACCAATGTTCTCTCTCATCGATGTATCTCTCTCTCTAAAAATCAATAAAGAAAAATTTTTTTTTAAAAGTGGAGAAGACCTAAAAATAAATCAACTGCAGGTTATATGCATGAAGTATTTCTGCCTAGATCTAAGTACTTACTATCAAACTAAAAACCAATTAACTAAATTTGTAAAATTTACTATAATAGCTAACTAAAAAATATCCATACAACCCTGGCTGGATTGGTTTAGCAGTTAGAGCATCAGCCCGTGGACCAGGTTGGTCGTGAGGATGGCAGGCACTCAATGTGTCCCTTTCACGTCAATGTTTCTCTCTCTCCCTCTCTGTTCCTCTCTTTCCCTCCCACTCTACCTGAACAAAAAATGGAAAAATGTCCTCAGGTGAGGATAAAAAACAAAACAAAACATGTTCTTCTTGTCTTAGTAACCAACATCCAATAACAGCACAGAATTCAATTTTTACCATCATCAACATGTATATATATAAATGGGTTCTAAATATACTTGAGAAATTGCTAGTGATACTGCCAAATATTGTATCATATAAATAAAAATATACCTTATTAGACTTTTAGAGTACTCAAATTGTAATCGTATGAAACCCTAAAATTAGCTCTTTCTTATATCCAGCCCTCTGGCTCCCTGCACTAACTGTTTATCAGATGCTACTCTCAGACTCACTATTCACTTTCTGTTCAGAAAACAGCAAGGCCGATTGAAGATAATTTTTTCCTTCTCTTTTTGGCTGCCTCTGAAGTTTCCAAATTCAATCAAATTTCCAATTTATTAGAACTAAACTGAGTTAACCACAGCTTCTCCAGACAAACAGATTTTAACAATAAAAAATTAAGGTTATATAGGATGGAACAAGAATTGCCTACAGGTGGAGCCCTGGCCGGTTTGGCTAAGGGTTAGAGCGTCGGCCTGCAGTCTGGAGAGACCCGGGTTCAGTTCCCACTAAGGGCACGTACCTCGGTTGCAGTTTGTCCCAGGCCCTGGTTGGATCATGTGGGTGGCAACCACTTCGTATGTCCCTTTCACGTTGATGTTTCTCTCTCTCTCCCTCCTTCCCACTCTATCTGGACAAAATACAAAAAAAAAAAAATGTCCTAGGGTGAAGATTTAAAAAAAAATTGCCTACAGGTGGAGAGTTATTAGTTCATTACCTGCAACCTATAATTACTACCAAAACTGCACTCACAATTTTACACAGGTTTCAATACAACGAAAACAGGACACATAATCTTAGGATCAAGATGATGAAACTACTTACTTTTATTCATTTATTATTTTCCCCAAAATTCTAGACAGTACCAATTCTTTCAAAGGAAAATTGGGAGAACGAGAACATGTATGTTAAATAAAATTAAGCTTAAACCAATTATTCTTTGGGAAGGAGTGGGGGCAGACAGAAGAACAGAGTTTACCTGATTCAAAGGTTGGCATTTTCAAATCACCTTGGTTCAGTTCTGTGCCATATTTTAATTTGTGATATTTTGCCCTGAAAATTTAATAATAAATTGTTGAAAAAAAATTTTCTTTTTCCTTTTCTACACAGTTAAGTAACTACTGGTAGGTTTCTCCAACAACAAAATAAGATACGAATGTGTTTCTTTCAATTTACTTACAAAAGAAGTTGGAGAAAAAAATGTACTATTATGAATGTACTCCTGATCTTTTAAAAACAATTTTAAAACTTAGATTCTATAATAAAAGATATTTTAATTTAAATATTTCAACCTCTTCTTCTTCTCTCATATATCAAATCAAAATATCATCTTGTATTTTAGGCAAGGTTTTGTATCTTTCAAAGAGCTTTCAAATATCTTGTAAAATGATATAAAAGAGAATAATAATGTTCTTATTTATTTTATTCATATAGTAAAATGAGACACATACCTTTCTTGTTTTAATGCATACTCTAACATCTTTATTCTTCTTACTAAATCCTTCTTCAAGTTTTCTTGACCTTTTCTTTCTCCTTGCAAAAATGCTATTCGGGCCTAGAAACAGAAATGGTCCATTTATTTTCATTTTTTCATAACTATACATAGGGAACTGAAAAAAGGAAAACAATAAATGTAAACTTCTGCACTTTTATTCTCGACAGCAAGACTTAAAATTCATAGTAGTCAACCAAACTTTCTGTTACATAAATAACACAATCATTTAAAAGATAAAGATAACTACAAGCTAACTACTTCCTTATAATCCTTAAAGTCACTAAGACTAATAATTTTACATTATCTTGAAAAATATTTTCATAGGAAAAAATTGTCTAATTCCTAATATATAAGTCACAAGGAACTAAAAAATATTATACTCACAAGCAGATAAACATTTTCCCCAAATGAGATATTGTTTCAAAAACCAATAATAAATGCCCAGTCATTAAAATAAGCTCTTCTCTATTATTCTTTATAAAAGATAATAAATCATCCACAACTTCATAACATCTGAGATGTTATGCTACACTTCAACACTCGTAAATACAAATTTCAAAATAAAAATAAAGGTCTAGGAGGAATGGTAAAAATTCAGAACATAATACAGGTGGAGCAAACGTAGGTTTACAGTTTTGAGTATGCAAAACACCGTTTAGAAGAAAAACATGGATTCATACTATAGAACCATTATGTAACTCTAATTTCCAGATCTCAGAGCATTCTCTAATTAGGCATGGAAAGAGATTTAAACAGCTCATTTTTGCCCTGGCTGGTGTGGCTTAGTTGGTTAGAGTATAGTCCCATACACCAAGTGGTTGAGGGTTCAATTCCGGTCAGGGCACATACCTAGGTTTCAGGTTCGATCCCTGGACCAGGTACATAAAAGGAGGCAACCAATTGATGTTTCTCTCTCACATCAATGTTTCTCTCTATCTCTTTCTCTCTTCCTTCCTCTCTCTCTAAAAAAGCAATGAAAACATATCCTTGGGTGAGGATTAAAAAATGAAATAAAATAAAAAACAAATAAAAATGGAACTGACTTATGACCCAGTGATTCCACTGGGAATTTATTTAAAGAAACCCAGAACTCTAATTGGATAGAATACATACACCCTTATGTTCATTGCAATGTTACTAACAAAGCCAAGGTTTGGAAGCAGCCCAAGCGTCCTCCATCAATAGGTGATTGAATTAAAAAAAGCTGTAGTACATTTACACAATGGACTACTACTTGGCTGTAAAAAAGAAATAAATTTTACCCGTTGCAACAGCATGGATGGACTTGGAGAGTGTTATGCTAAGTGAAATAAACCAGAGAAAAAGATGAGTACCATATGATTTCACTAATATGTGGAACCTAATGAACAAAATAAACTAACAAAATAGAAACAGACTCATAGATGGAGAACAGACTGACAGTTGTCAGAGGGGAATGGGGTTGGGAGCTGGGTGGAAAAGGTGAAGGGATTAAGGGAAAAATAAAAACAAAAACTCACAGACACAGACAAGAGTATGGTGACTGATTACCAGAGAAAAGGTGTGGAGGAGGTAAAAGAGGTACAGGGTGGGTAAGTGGTGACGGAAGGTGACTTGACTTGGGGTGGTGAACACACAATACAATATACAGATGACTTGTGTTGTAGAATTATACACCTAAAACCTATATAATTTTATTAACCAATGTCGCCCAATAAATTTTAAAAAAGGCAACACAATAAGATGGCACTTCACACCCATTAGAATAGCTACTATCCAAAAAATGAAAAATAGTAAGTGTTGGTAAGGACACGGAGAAACTGGAACCCTCCTGCCTTGCTAGTGGGAATGTAAAATGATGCAGCCACAGCAGTAAAGTTTGGTGGGTCCTCAAAAATATTTAACATAAAAAAATAAATAAATAAACAAAACGTGTGCTTGCAATTTCTTGTAAAATTTTTCATTTTCCAAATTTATAACTAGCTAAGACTTCTAGGGAAGAGAGAAAGATCAACAAAAAGATTTCCAGACATAAATAAAACGTATATTTTATTTTTATCTTTTCTAGTTATAACAAAAACTAAAAATTTAATGAAAATACCAGCACTGCCCTCTAAAATCCCAATGTCATTTTACATGGCAATACTTGGTTTGCTTTAAACCAACCAAATTATGTCTAAGCTAAAAAGAAATGCACTCTGCTACTTCTAACATCTATTGTTATTTATGTGTTTTTGAAGAGAATAAAATTATTTTTAGAATATGGGTGGGTATAATTTTTTAAAAAACTAAGTAGTAAAGAGTTCTATGTAAGTGATTTTCAGCTTTTGTTTTTTTCTGACAAGACTGATTCTTTGTGGAAGCTAATAACGAGAATGGTGACTAAATGAAAGATTACTGTATTATCAAAAAATAAAATGGTTTTGACAGCTCTTTACAATTAGAGGGGGAAAAAACATCTTTCTTGTTATTGGAAGGCAAACTTACATTCTCAAGACTGGTATGTTTCTTGAAACCATTTCTTACACCCAAGAGATATTATACATTTTATAGTGAAAATAAACAAATTACAAATAATAAAAAATAATTTTACAAGCAAGTTTTCAAGAACAGCTAGATTACCTTATTACTCTTTCTCTATTTTTTTTTTTAACTTTTTTTTTCTTTATTGATTTGAGAGAGAGAGAGGAAGAGAGAGGGAGGGAGAGAGAAACATTGATGAGAGAGAACATCGAATGGCCGCCTCCTGCATGCCCCCCACTGGTAATTGAGCCCACAACCTGAGCATGTACCCTGACCAGGAATCAAACAAGTGGTCTCTTGGTGCATGGGTCGACACTCAACCACTGAGTCACACCGACGGGGCATTACTCTTTCTCTTAAAACTCAAAGCATTTTTAGTGTAATCAATAAAGGCAATTATTGATCACGTAAGTTATATATTTAAAATCATTACACCCTGGCAGGTTTGGCTCAGCGGTTAGAGCATCAGCCCGTGGACCAGAGAGTCCCGGGTTCAGTTCCCGCTAACGACACGTACCTCAGTTGCAGGTTGTCCCCGGCCCTGGTTGGGGATGTGTGGGTGGCAACTAGTTGATGTGTCTCTCTCACATCGATGTTTCTCTCTCTTCCTCCCTCTTTTCCTCCTGCTCTATCTGAAGATAAATGCAAAAAAAAAAAAAAAAGCCTCAATAAAATCATTACAAATCTTGAGATCACTAATGTGGGAAAAAGACAGATTTAGCTACATAATGTGATTTACACTAGTAGAGATCCACACTCCTTTAAGAAAACCCTTTAGGCAAGATGTGTTCTGGAAATGATTGATGAAGTGTATAAACCACATTTTACATGACACCTCAGTCATTGCAAGTTGTGGCAGCAACAAAATCAAACAAATACAACCTGAGTATATAAGTTTTTAGCAAATAGAATAAAGACAATTGATAGCCTCATGTCTTCAGGTAAGGTTTCTACCATCAAATGGTTAACTTCTGAACTTCAGAACTATAAATGAAAAGCTAGAAGAATAACCATCACAAATATGTATCAATTATGCTACTTGCCAAACACAGTTTTAAGTATTTAAGTGTACATATTTATTTACTTCTCACAATTATCCTATGCGTTGGTATTATTACCCCCACTTTTACAGAAAATGCAAAATGGAGTACAAAGTGGTTAAGAAACTTGGTCAATATCACAAGAATAGCAATGGAGGCACTAAGACTTGAATTGTGAAGGTCTCACTTCAGAGTACCTTCTCCTGCTCACCAAACTATAAAGCTGCTCAAAATAATGGGGAGAGACAATCAGTAGAGAGGTAAGGGCTGGTTGATAATCTCAGGATGCTATCTATTCCCCTCCCAAACCCAAATTAGACATCAATAACTTTGCCTCAGAGTTAGAAAAAAACTCTTAAACATAAGATAGGCTCCAGGCAGCCATAACAAAACTATTTGAATTGGCAAGCAGGATGAAAAATATTTGCCAGCCCAATTTCATACTAAGAATATTTAAATATTAAACCAAATCGATTGTCCTTGTTTTGCTACTAATTAGACAAATGCTATTAGAATGCAGTTCCATAAAAGTATGAATATTTGTCTTTTGTTCACTGATATATTCCCATTACCCACAACAGTGCTGGCATATGTAAAAACTTAATATTTGTTGCTTAATGAATGAATAAAGTAATGATTACATAGTTTCTCAACTATAAAATATAGGGATGACCATATATGTACAATCTCTTTCCGAATCTCAAATCCAGAAGTACTTAATTCATCTATGAAAAATGACATTTTTTTAAAATGCAGAGGTTTTTCACATGCATAAAGGAAAATTTCACTTTTGTTCAGTAAATATGGTGTTTGTGATTCCAGAATTTTATTCATCTAGTCTATCTAATATATATTAATTGATAACATTAATGATCAAAATTAAGGAAATATCTAAGACATTTAAGAAAGTGAGCACGAATAAGCTAAAAGAATCCTAATTTAGGAGTTGGGTGGTTGTATCTACACTTATTGTTATAGTACTAAATCCTACCAATGTAGAGTTATTTAACCTAAATTTTTTCATTTCCAAAGGGAAAAACCTAAACACAATCCCTGATATATATTTAACTAACCTTAAGAAAGTCAAGGAAGGAAACAATAACGTTTTTTTAGAAATGCCCTTTAATAGCTCACGTAGACACTATTACTTAAGTATCCTCAAAATAGGACAATTCTGACTGGGTTCAGGGCTACCATAGCCATTGGTACAGACTTTAGTTCCCTAGAATTCAAAGACATCTTCCCACAAGAAAGGCCTATAAAAAATTTAATCTTATTCCTCTTCATGAAAAATCCTTGATAAGAAATAAAATTTAGTTGTTAATAAGTCACTTAATTATCTTTTCAAGAAGGATGGCTTTTAATTATCTAGGGGAAAATTTATTCGTGTTAATTTCTTATTAGCTCATGTTAAAACCATTCATAAGTACAACAATTAAGTGGAGTACACTATTCATGCAATTTTGACACCAGGGAACCTAACAGCTCAATGTGTTAAACCCTTTAAATGTAATGGAT